AGAAAGTCACTGAGTATTTTCTGGGCCAGTTCTCCTTGTGAAATCTGAAGACTTATGAAAGAGATGCAACAAAGACACACGTGATTGTCAGTTTCTACATCAGGAACACAGAGCGAGGCAGAAAGCACAGACACTCTCTCTGCTGTTGTTGCAGGTGCAGATCTTCTGAGGATGAGCAGGGAGGATCTGATCCAGATATGTGGCCCGGCAGATGGCATTCGCCTCTTTAACACCATGAAAGGAAGGTGAGACATTAAAAAGCACTTCTAAGAGCTGCAATTAATTGAGTCGTTTTAGATTTTTTCTTTAATTGAAATCCAGAGGGGAGACGATTGAAGTTGATAAAAATGTTACGACACTGATCAGAGTCCCCTTCAATTATTACCATGCACTCAAAGTTTAAAGAGCAACAGTCAGACCGAAGACTTTTCCGCACTTGATCTCCCATAAATATCAAGGTTGTGGTGTCATTGTATCTGAAACCTCAAAAGAATACCTCTAGAGACTTTACGTAAAATCATTATAAACCCTCGTCGTGCACTTTATTAGAAACACCACGCTCATCCTGGGTGGCTCCTCCCTCTGCTCTCAAACAGCCTCAGTTCTTTGAGTCAGTGATTCTCCAAGATGTTGGCACTTTTGTAGATTTGTCAGCTGCAGATTGATGCTTCTGAACTCCTGTTCTACATTTCCAGGTTGTTCTGCAACATAAGAAATGACGACTGATTGGTATTGTGGGCCCAGCTGCAATGACACTTCACCTCTAGATGTCACTAAATTCTACACACTAAACGTTTAAAAGAAAACATTCCCCACACCATTACACCCTCAGCAGCCATCGTCGGCTACTTTTAGATGCTACACTTACTGCAGCTCAGCTCAAGAGCAAAGCTTGTCAGCTTTGTCACCAGCGTGCAATGAATTCTAGGATAGGACGGCCCGAGAAGGATCCACCCATAGCACCCTTTTTTTAAACTTGGCACTGGAAGGACGCATATCTTACCTTTAGCCATTGAAGGATGTGGCCCCGCAATCGGTGCACAGCTACTGTTGACTGCAGAGATTTTTGGTCATGGCAGACAGGGGTGGAATCTGATGTGGTTTCTGCTGAATCCTCCTCCTCTGATCACTCACATCAACACAGAGCTGCTGCTGCTACCTGTATACTTGATTTGTTTTTGGATCCATTCGGATTAAAATCTCTAAAGACTGTTGAGAGATCAGCTCGTTCTGGTTCTGAAGCTCCTGACCTGTAGTTTTTCATGTACTGTATTACTGCCACATGATTGGCTGAGTGGATATTCTGCTTATTCTAGTGGACACTAGAATAAAGTGCACATGTTCACGAGTGTTTTAAACTATACAGTCCAGAACACACATACTTGGACAGTCAAACATGGTTTGTTTTCCATGCTCTGTAGCTTCAGCACATTTAATTAGAAATGAAATAATGGATAAAACAATTAAGTCCTTAGCTTGCTATCATAATGTGAGGAAAATATACTTTGAAAGCACAAGAACCAGGAGCTGATGTCAAGTTGAATCAGCCCACGTCAGTCACAGTCACTGTTTTCTGAGCTATAGACTACTGACTGGTGTATGATGTTCTTTCATCTTAACCTATATACAGAAATAAAGACAAGGCCAAACCTCCCTGATACCGTTATTCAGGCAAAAGGCCAAAGAGAGGCCCATCTTGTGTCACATGACCGCTGCATATTCTCCAAGCACGACTCTTACAGTTTCTCCTCACACCCTGCAGGTGCATACAGCCCCGTCTTACCATCTACGTGTGCCAGCAGCAGGCCCGGAATCAACCTCCCATCAAGCCGGTTGGTGGAGACAGTAAGTGGGAATATTGTGTAATATGATTCTAATTATAAGTCCATACGTATCAGATCGGTGTGTTATTGTGATCATGTTTACAGATCTGCACAGGAGGCACCCTCTTAATTCCAACCATATTCATATTTGAACGCTCTTTCCTAAACTTTGTGATGTTTTAGCTCATTCCAGTTTCTGCTTCCTTCCCTGCAGTCTACCATGCTCTGTATCTGGAGGAGCTGACACTGCTGGACCTGTCTGAAAAGATCTCCATGCTGTACAGCATCACTCCACAGCAAATTACACACATCTACAGACAGAAATCCACTGGGATCCACGTCCTAGTCTCTGACGAGGTATACACACTTCATACCTTTGAATTATTTACAAATGAGCCCAGGCCTCTCACATAGGGGGGCTAGCCATCTTATGCAGCTAAACAATCCGAACCTGCATTAACTTTTGCTGCAGGACAGTATTACAGTGTGTCGCTGTTATATTAAAGAACAAGCAGTCCCTTGTGTTATTATAATGCAGGGCAAATCTCTAAATACAACCACAACTGTAACCCTGCACCACTTTACATTACAGTAACTTAATCACAGACCACATCTCGGAATAAAGATAGAGTTTTCACAAGTCTGGGTTTTGTGACTTGTGATGAATCCTGAAATGCAGCACTTGGTAAATGGAAATCAAGTGTTTACACTGAGCAATCTATTTCTTTCAGATGGTGCAGAACTTCGGGGAGGAGACGAGCTTCATCATCAGCACTATAAGGGGTAATTATTTTCAGTCTTTAAACTCACAACTTAACACAGACATTTAGCATCCATACTCCTTCGCTGTTATTTTGGAATAACCTGTTGCTGTCTTGTCTTCTGTCCTGCAGATGAAAACACTGATGGCTTCCACATTGTGTTGAAATGACCAGAAGGAACTCAGGAGGTGGTTTAATCAGAGCGATTGTACAGATTGTATATAAATCCTTCTACAATAAAAGATCAGATTTTAAAGTACAGTAAAATGCTGATGGGCTATGGGCTTAGTTTACTGTGGATTTTGTGTTTCTATTTAGCGGTCATTCATTTCCTTGTTTTGTTTGTACTTTTGTCAATTTACTGATTCATGTTTGATATGCCTTGCAATTTGTGGTAAACCGTGATGTGTTGCTCCTTCACATGTGCTTACATTTTTGGCATGGACATCTATAGATGCAAGTTAATGACTTTCATGAAATAAAGCAATGTTCATGTCACACATCATCACGCAGACAAATCAAAAAGACAAATGAACAAAAGTGTTTTATGCTGTTTTATTGGGATTTCTGATCTCCCAGTGTCCCTGCTGTAGTTTTAGCATGATGTGTTGTGGTGCTTCTCACCAGCTTTTGTTGCTTTAAGGCTGAACATCTTTATGATAAAGTGCAATGCAATATTTTAGACATCTCATCTCATGAGCCGCCCAGCGGGTTGTTAAAGTAGACAGTTTAAAACAGGGCCATGGGCTGCAGTCTGGATCTGTGATTTGTGCATTTAAGTCAAAATAAAGTATTTTGCAGTGTTTTCTCTTTCTCTGGTTTGAGGAGAGTGGGCCTCTGTTTTAGCAACATTTAATTCACTGTATTGAACACCCTACATAACCTACATAAATACATGCAAGCAAACTGCTTACATGAGGCCTCTATTGCACTTCTGTCCGTCCTGGGAGAGGGATCCCTCACATGTGGCTCTCTGAGGTTTCTATGTTCTTTTTCCCCTGTTCATAGGTTTTTTGTTAGTTTTTGGTTTAAGGACAGAGAATATCATACCTTGTTAAACCCTGTGATAAAAATTGTAATTGTAATAAAAAAATGGGCTATTTAAATACAATTTAGCTGTTACCAACGGCCTACCTGCCACCACACGGAAGTGGAAGACACCGGGACGTGACTTAACCCAGCCTCTGGCAAGCGAGAGGCAGACAGGTGCTCTATGACCGCCTTTATACAGCATTCTCATGCAACGATTGGCTGGGATTGGAACCCAGCTGAAAGTCACTAGGACCAAATCACTGCATACTGCCTCATATGAAAAAAGCATGTAGAAAACATGTACACAGAAACTGCACTGTTTGGCAGAGGCACACAAAAGCAGCGCGGTAATTATAGTTCTTCTTACAATCAATCAATCAAATTTTATTTGTATAGCCCATATTCACAAATCACATTTTGTCTTAAGGGGTTTAAAGGGATAGTTCTCCGAAAAATTCTAATTCACTCGTTATCCACTCACCACTATGCCAGTGGTGGGATGGGTAAAGTGTTTAAGTCCACAAAACACTTCTGGAGTCTCAGAGGTAAACAGCGTTGCAGCTGAATCCGATACAACAGAAGTCAATCGCGACCACTTCTTCAGATGTAATAAAACAACAGAAAAACAGAAAATGCCTCCATAAAGCTTGTGGGGTGTCATCCAAGTGTGCACAAGCCCAGACGTTCATATTCGACTTGAACAAGGTCATTTACACTTTGTCTTTAGCCCAAATGTCCTCTGATGGCCTCCTCTGAGCCGCATTCACATGCACACTGGAGACACAGCGGTGTGTGAGTCCATGACTTTGTTTAGAGTCGAGGACGACAGGACTTGAGAACACTTGGATGACACCACACGAGCAGTATGGAGACATGTTATTATTTTTCTGTGTGAAGGTCCTAATTGACTTCTATTGTATTGATATGGCTGCAACACTGTGTTTTGTGGACTCCAACACTTCACCCACCCCTTCATTGGCAGAGCAGTGAGTGGATAATTAAATCATTTTCATTTTTCGGTGAACTATCCCTTTAACAAGGAGACATCATCTGTCTTTCACCCTCGACAGCTCCACACACTTTTTAATATTCAGTGGAATATGTTGAATTTAACAATGGGTGTCAGTACTGGAGGAGAACTGGGGGATTCTGGGTGGTGACATCACGTAAGGACCTGGTGACATCATCACATGCATGTGCACTTTCAGCTGGATTGAACAAAGTTTTCCAGTGACATCATCGCTGCTCTTTCACAGGAAATCCAGCTTCACCTTCACATTAGAAGCATGAAATACTGCTGATGACTTCAACAAATGAAACCTAGCACTACAAATACATGTTGTTCTACTTCCTCCACCTCCTCCTCCCCTCCTCCTCCTCCTCTTCCTCCTCCTCCTCCTCCTCTTCCTCCTCCTCCTCCGGTGACTGACAGCTGCTCAGTCCTGCCCTGTGCCCGTGTCGCTCTGCCCGGCCTCCGCCATCTTGCCTCTCCCCTGGCTGCGAGAAGCCGAGTGCGGAAGTAGAAGCGCAGTGTGCGGGCTCCGGGTTCCGCCTGTGGACCTCTCACCGATCCTCCCGTCGACACCGCCCGCTATCCGACCGATTTCAGCGTTCCTAGCCAGCACGGACCCCGGGAGAGATGGCTGGACGGTTACCGGCGTGTGTGGTGGACTGCGGCACCGGGTAGGTTGTTGAGACGGAGCGTGCAGACGCGGGGCTCGGGTGTCATGGAGGGTGTGGGTACGGTCAGGGACTGTCAGTGTCAGCAGCAGCAGCAGCAGCAGCCGAGCCTGGGTGTGTGTCTGCGGGTATTCACCGCACTGCTAGCTTGTGAGCTAATGTGCTAACGAGGAGCTAAGTGTGATTGTTATCTTCTCGCGGCTCTCGAATGCTCAGCCGTCGCTCAGTTTTCCTCTTCATCGTCCCGCACGCTCGCTGGTTGCATCATTAGCGACGTTTTCGCCACAAGCTTGTTTTCCCCGTGTCACCGTGAGATGTGGTGTTTGCTGCTGAGGAGGGGAGCCCTCACATCTGGCTCCATTCATTCGGAGGTGTTTAGCTGTTATTGCCAATACAGCGTCTCACCACAATATACACATATTTGGTCAGATCCTCCACACTGATCTCTGTCGTGAATAGAAACCCGTGTTTGTAGCCAGCGGGCTCTCATAAGTCTTTTTGCTCATTAGATGTGAGCAGGCGCAGTGCTACTTCCTACACAGCCTCCACTTCCTCATTCACGCTTTCTACTCCATATATGGTGGTTTCTCGGCATCCGAGCATGTTTTTTTGATTAACTTCTCTAATTTCTCCTCCACACCAGGCTATTGATTCGTCCAACGAGCAATTTGCATTATTGTTTTCAAGCAATAATCCGTTTGCCTTGTTAGCAAATGATGGACAGAGTGGATCCCACAGAGCCAGATGTTATCTCAGCTCCTCCTGTAGCACTGCTGGCACACATCAGTGTGGATGTGTGTGTGTTTGTTACCTCTTGTCCTGCTTGGTATCAGGTAGATTTTCACTCCTGATTGTTATGCAATTTTATTTTTCAAATGAAGACTTAAGCCGTGAAAGACATGTGCAACATTCTTAAGTTGTTATGATGTTTGTTTGTTGGGTTGTTATTACTATATCCACTGAGAGGGAGAGATTTGTATTCCAAGCAATGTAGATCTGCTCAAGTAACTATGCTCAGGTGATGATAGCTCTGCTCAGTTAGTTTTCGGGGGCTAGAAGTGGTTTGCATTGCTTTCATGTAGAGGCTTGAACTCCTCACTCCTCACATTGCATACCTCCCCATTCAACCCCCCCTCATCCCTTCAGGCTGCTAACCAGACTACTGTTTCAGATCTGCACTGGGACCAGCAGAAGAAAAGTGCAGCTGAGAAGTGGGTTAGCCTGCCTGTGCTAGTTTCTACTCATTAAACAGATGGCCCTTCACTTTAATAGCCAAGCCTTAAAGTTACAAGGCAGACTGCATGTTCCAGTGTCAGAATCTGAACTAACACCTGATCATGAGTACCAAGTCAGACAAAGTATGGGTTTACTTTCTTGGGGAAAATTTGAACATGCTGTAGCTTTGCAGCTTAGTCAGAGAGTACCCGCTATCGGCGGATGTTGTAAAGTACTGAGGGAGTTCTACAGCTGCTTGTGTCATGCTCATGGTGTCCACAGAATGACGACTCCACTTCCTATTACACATCAACCTTCTTAGTGCCCCGGCTGCTGTTATTACAAGATATTTATTGAGTGTACGACAAAAACAATCACAGTCACATTTGGGTGTAGGTGTCTAATGGGCAGCAATGACATCAATGAAAAATCTCATGTGTTCTACTGTAGTGCATTTGAAGATTTGGGTGGGGTCATTCCTCATCTATCTTAAGCAAACAGCTGAAATTTCATAACACTAGGCTGCAGTCGTTCATGAGCACAGGTCAAAAGTAAACCAACATTATAGATTTTTTTGTGAGCATTTGCCAAAAAGTACAATATTCTTCACTGAAATCAAAATAAGTTGTATGATTCTCAAATAGATACCCAAAAATGGTTCACTCCACTATTGTGCTCAGCTTCAGCCGTCCTGTGCAATGATGTCCACTGTCAGACATGCGGTGTGTTGTATGCTTGTTGAGGCAGGTTGAGGGAGACAAGCTGGGACTGTTCTGTGGTATGAAGGTGTTCAGAGTACTGCTGCTACAGTCTGCTGCTGTCAGCTCAGACTGTTGTTGCTGTCATGAGGCAACTGTTGATCCCTCTGAATGCCAATCCAAGTAAAAAAAAAAAAACAACTCTCTGATGTCATCTTGACAGTGACACCCATAAAAATCTTGCAATATTGCCATTGGATACTCTATTCATTACTGATATGACTTTTTTTATTGTAATGAGAGTGAAAACACATTTATGTATCATAAGCTGAAACGTTTGGGTAAACTGCTGCTGTTGTATATCTGACACAGTTAAAGGTCCAGTGTGTAAGATTTAAGTGAAAGGGATCTATTGGCAGAAATTCAATGTAGAATAATCCTCATGATGTTTTCAATAGTTCGTTTCATCTAAATTGTATGAATTGTAGTTGTCCCAGAAAAGACCCTTTATATTTAAATACTTTATATTTACATGGAGGGGACCCTCTCTTTCAGCTCACTCAGGACATGTCTGCTCTTCTTTTTCTTCTTTTTCTTCTCATTAATTTGGAAATATGCAGCTTTTTCAGCAGATTTTGGATTTTATAATGGCTTTCTGTTGGAGGCGTCTACACTGGTCACATCATGCAAGGGCCTGATGACATCATCGCATGCCTTTGACCTTGGCAGTGTGACATTTGCACGTCATGAATTTTCTGCTTGACTCAGCAAATTATTTCAGCAACTCAGCATTTACACTGCATTTACGCATTTTCTATTGAAGACAGTTGTTGACATTGAAAGGATGTGATTGTACCAGTCATAACAACCGGTTAAGTTCTTTCTCACTGCTCATGTGGCTCCTTCCAGCTTCTTTTTTCATAGTCAGTTGAATTCAAAGAAGCCACTGTTCTGACCAGGATGTGGCCTATAATGCCCACAGTGCTTTGGAAGTGTCAGCGGCGTCCTCTATCAGTCCCTTGGGTCCTGAGGGCTATTATGGGAGTCTGAGCTTACCCCAGTCAAGACTACATCTGGTCAGCATGTGCCCCGCAAAACTTTCATACAAGGCAGACACATGGAGGAGGGTTCAGACTCTATTGTCTTGAGGTGTGCTCCCAACTGGTTGTGGTTTAAGTATGGAGGTGAAAATGTTGTAGGAATGACTTTTAGAAACTTGAAAGTTTTTCATTATACAGCCCTTCTCGTAGGTTAAGGTTTGGCTCACTTTTTATAACATAAAGAAGAAGGAAATACAGCAGCAAATGCTGAGGTCATGGCTAGTTTATATTAAGGGTTAGTGGTCAGTTTATACAGAAGTGATCTCTCCCCCTCCCAGGGACATATGAATAGTTCTCAGTTCCCAGTGTGACATGAATGGCTCTTTTAATGGCCTCCTATTAGCAAACTCCAGAGCTGCTGCTGCTCTTGGCAACAGCCCAACCCCCCCAAAGGACAGTGATGGCATTGATCAAAACAATAGGAGAAAGCATCCAAAAATAATCTTCGCTGTAGTAAATTTTCACACGTCTAAATGCAGTTCCAGCTTTGTAGCTGTGGCTCGGTATTGTCCAGAGCATGCAACTTGATCTAATAGAGAAATGTCCTTTTCTCATGCAGTTACACCAAACTGGGATATGCAGGGAACACAGAGCCACAGTTCATCGTTCCATCATGTGAGTATTTCACTGTATGTTGAATTCCCCTGCCACCAGCCAACAATGGTCACGATACATCATTGAAATGTGGAAGTGGTACAGGGCATATGTTGTAAATTAAAATACAAGCCTTGCCACCACTTAAATAAAAAGAAATACTTTTCTAAATTTGACTTTGTCCCTTTAACACTTACCTTGGTGAAAGCTCTAAGGATCTTTTCATGTCTTATTTAATAATTTTTAAATTTTTGACATCAGCCTAATTACCTGAAAACATACCTCACACAACTCTGTTGCCACGTATTGAATTCTCTTTTCTCGTCAGGTATCGCCATCAAAGAGTCAGCCAAGGTCGGAGACCAGGCCCAGCGGAGAATGATGAAGGGGGTGGATGACTTGGATTTCTACATTGGAGATGAAGCAGTAGACAAGCCCACGTATTCCACTAAGGTACATGACCCTGTTGGATTCATGAACCCACAGAAGTGACTGGCAAGGCAACTACTATGTTGGAATGTTTCACTCTCTATAGAAAGCTGATATTTTAACAGAATAAATTATACATTTGACAATTAGTGAACACGAAGCAGAAGAAAGGAGATGGTTTCCCTACCTGACTCCACAGGGCAACCATGACTTGTAATGTGATATTATAAACAATCTCAGCCTGTATTTCTCCAGCATTTAAAGAATGTTGTTTACAGTTGATACTGTAAGCATGTTGTGTTTTAGTTTGCAGGAAACCACCAGTGAGTTGGACATGTTACATATACAACTAATATAAACTGACGATTAGTCTCTGTATAAGAAAGCTTATTTTAGTAGATGTATGTGTTCTGGTGTATGTTGCTGATATAATCAGATTTTATTAGATTCTGTGATTCCTGAATATCCTTGCCTCTCAAATGTGCAGAAGCATCCTCAAATTTCTCAACTTTCCTCTTTGGCACAGACAATGTTAATAATATCATTAACAATAGATTTGCTCCATATAAATGTCTCTGTAAACCAGCATGCGTGATACTGGAGCTGTGTTGCCGAATCCATGTACAATTCTGAAAAACAAGTTTTGCTCAATTGTTTCACATGTAGAACTGCAGCTTATCATGTAATTTCACATTAGTATAAAATGTCAGATGTACTGTGAAATTCAATTAGATGGTTTCATGGGACATAATGTTGAGCTTGTTCAGTGGTTTTCATAAATCATTTTTGGACATTTTCTTATTAGATGTTAACATCTGTGTACAGATACAATCCAGAATACTGCATGTAAACTCACTGCTCTCTCTGTGAAAATTATGTAACTAGTTAAAATGTTGAGCCCTGTCTTTATACTTGAATCTGACCGGACACTAACTGCCCATTCAGTGGGCAGAGGGTTCTGTTATCTGGACCAGTGATATCATTTTTTACAAATACTAATCTTTGCGATGCACATTCCAACTTGATACATTTTACAGGTTTGGAAAGGTTTATTTACATGAACATCACATCCCACAGCAGCCCTAAATCTTTTTTGACACTAATTTGAGCACATACACACATACTATGAACAATGTGTAGTATAATATTGCTACACAGTGTGAAGACCTGAAACACAACACACAAATGCAATATAACCACAACAGACATCTATGTGAGTTTGAAATGTTCACTGTGGGAAATGTGAGGAATGAAATGCAGACATTAATCATGCGTACAACATTCTGGAGTGAGAATGAACAGACATTAACAATCCTTGTAGTGACATTCCTGATGAGCCAAGTGTTGTTGATGATGGCAACTGTATGATGTCATTAGACTACTGACATACTGAACATTTTATAGATTTCTGTCACATTATTTCACATATTCTGTTTCAGTAGCTTGTGTTTAGGTCACATACTGTACATCATTCTAATTATTACCTGAACCCATCCGTCAACAGTGGCCAATTCGTCATGGGATTGTGGAGGACTGGGACCTCATGGAGCGCTTCATGGAGCAGATCATCTTCAAGTACCTGAGGGCTGAGCCTGAGGACCACTACTTCCTCCTGGTAAGCATGTGGCCTGTCTGGGACTAGTAAACACAAAGGGTTCGTCACAGTTAATTCATCTTTAATGGCCCTCTTCTTTTAAATATCTTATTTTGTCTTGTATGCACTCTTGTGTATATGCAGACAGAGCCTCCTCTCAACACACCAGAAAACCGAGAGTACACAGCTGAGATCATGTTTGAGTCCTTCAACGTACCAGGGCTGTACATCGCTGTGCAGGTGAGATATGATGGAACTTGTACTAAATACACTTAGACTGTGTGTGTGTGTGTGTGTGTGTGTGTGTGTGTGTGTGTGTGTGTGTGTGTGTGT